TTGATAAAATACTTATTCATATGAAAGCCCAGATAGAGATAATTAACACCATATGGTAACTCTAACCACAGGTGAGACTAATGTACTTCTACACTACTTCCTTATTCGTCTAAAAGTTTGTAGCGTAATATTATATTATTACACTTATATTATGACACTTTTACGAAAAAATTTCTACAAGAAAGTTAATACATTGTTTAATTGTTTTATTACGCTGATTATAATTATTTTTATGTCTCCTGGTAAAAAAGTTGGTTAGATGCGCCCGTTTGCTTATAATAATAACATAGCCTTGCTTTTTGATTTATTTCCACAATTGGTCATTCCTGAATTGACTCAAAAATTTGACCAACATTAGAACAAGTTCTACTTCATGAATAAATTTAGGAAGAACTTCGTGAATTTATTTGGCGAACGTATGATAGTGGAAGTGGTGCATTAACTAATACATGTGCATAAATTAATACATGAAAAAATGTGTTGTCACGTTCTTGAAAGTGGTCTGGACAGAATGAGCCTTAACCTTAAAACGAGAGAACCTTTGCAATGGATATATTGATATACTTTGCGTTCTTCATGGTGATGTACCTGTACTTCAGGGATATGATTGTTAAGGCATTGATGCTAGTTCATTGAGGTCTGCAATAAATCATTAATAAAATATTTTTAAATTTTATAAATGACTGTTAGAAGAAAACATATCTGGGGAATTAAGTAATTTAATTTTCAATTGTTTGTAATTGTTTTACCCCCGTTGAGTGTCCCAACAATTACACACCTTAAAAATTCTGTTCCTGCTTCTGTTCTGTTCTGTTCTGTTCTGTTTCTGTTCCTGTTTTTCCCACTGATTTATTATTAGTTTTTTTCCGATCCTCTCTCGCTTGCGTGCTTTCTGTCTCTCATTACTATCGTAAATTTTATACATTTTCTTTATTGTTTAAGATCGGGTCCGATTCATGGAGATCGTTTTGTCTAAAACAATCCAATTACGAGCGTTGCCGTTATGTCATTAAATTCCGATCGTGGCTAACACGTAACTTTCACGACGGACCGTAGCCGTCTATCCATTCTGAAAAAGAAAGAGCAGGAATTTTCCTGTTACAAGATAATCTCCACCGACTCCGACCATCTTTGCATCAAATTACGGGTTATGCATTCTCGCCCGAAGCGTTTCTGAGAGATTTCTATTTGCCATTCGTCAGCCCGTCAGTGACATTGCTCGCCAAGAGTGCTCGTTATTCGAGTGATGGGGTTAATTTGCCATAAATGCAACGCAATTAAAGATAAAACCAAACTATAGTTAATGAATTAATTAATTAATGTAACAAGCAATATAAAATGTAGGAGACTTAGAACCATAGAAACACTTGTCCAGAAGATACAATTTAAGAAAGTTTGGAAGATTCGGCCTCTTAGTTAACAATTTAAAATCTGAAAATCAAGCCAAATTCTTTTTACACTTGCAGATGCAGATTTGCAGTAGATGGTATTTTTTAGCAAACAAAGTTTCTATAAGTGAATAAAGCATCAATTATCCGAAGGGCTCATTATAAAAGCTCTTTTTGCAAAATCGCTAAATGAGCTGATTTATATGGGTCGACCAATTAAATTTGTCAGTAGTCATCGATGGTTACGTAAAATAACTTTTCTGTGTCTAACAAAGGCCGATAAAATCATCAAAGTTGGGGTTTTTGTTGTGTTCATGCCGTGTGATATTTCATTTTTATTTAATGCCTCAATGCTATTTTAGAAATACAATGTGTCGATTAGTTTTATTCAACTCTTCTATATATGTTTTGTACATTACTTAGGAAAGGCCTACTTGGCCAAATAATTACCATTTAAATTCTATAAAAAAAATGCTGTTTATAGACTATCAAACAAGGAACATCTCCCATGATTTAAAATAATGCTATAAATATTTTTTTTTAATATTTTCCTAACTGGCTATCGTTACTACAATATTGATTTAGATAATTTTAATTGGGGGGCTCTGAATGGAGCCTACGTGTATGGTCTGTTCATATATATAAGAAAGTGACCAATTGCTTTTGAATGGGATTATCCAAGGTCATTACCATACAATGCAACAAGATTATTACCTAAAGTTTCGGAATTTAAATTCAGGTAAAATTGTGGTCCGTAATAGAAAATAATTTTATACCTCCCTGTGTCTAATATTCTTTGGTTTGGTATACTACTTAGTTTAAGTTTATTAGTAACCATTCTTATTTCGTGTGTAATACAGCGTGTGTTGAATCGTGTGTGAATTATGCAAAATATGTGCTAGTCTAGTGTATCTCAGGAGATGCTCCTGCCCAAATGTAGAAAACACTATTCTATTGAGACTAAGGAATGTATAAACAATGTATATTTGACTTTCATTGAACGTGGTGCCAGCAAGCAAGTATCTTTAGAAGAAACGGCCACATTGACGAAAATTCCAACATCAACTCTATGGAAAGTGATCAAGATATAATACGGAGTAAAATTTACCAGTTACACGAGGAACAAAGCGTGCCTACATTAGATATCTTAATTAGGAGGCTTGAAAAAGATGAAATCGGTGTTAAATGTGGCAGAACTACCTTATGGAAGTGTATTCAACACATGGGTTTTAGATTTAAAAAATTGATAAAAGGCAAGTTTTAATGAAATCTTTTAGAATTCGGAAATGGCGACTGCAATATCTAGAAAAAAATTTGGATTTACAGAGAACAACAAAGGCCACTGGTTCGACACTTATGATACCCCGGAAAAGGGTTTGATTGACTCAACTGATAAGTGTAAAACAAACACGCCATCAAAAAGAGGTAAAACAATAACTATTTTGCATGCTGGCTCTAAGGATGGTTGGATTCCAACGGCGAAAATATTAAAGATTCTTCTCTGGATTTCCATGAAGACACCACCGCTGATTTATTTGAAAGTTGGTTTAAAAACAAGCTAGTTCCAAACATTCCTCCTAATAGGGTCATTGTAATGGACAAATCAAGTTATCACAGTAGACAGTTGACTAAAACCCCTTCCTCATATGACACAAAAGCAAATCCAAAACTACATGTATAATAAAGACATTTATTTTCACGAAGATTATACCAAAAAGCAATTAATTGAGGTTCTACAAAGCTTGAACATGTTTGGCACCAACTGAAATCTGCCATTGGTCGTAACAATGTTTTCCCCGTGTTAACTTCAATGTCCTCAAACTTATAGAAACCGAAGTTTTTAACATCCCTCCACAAAGTCGGACAAATTCTGTTAAACATATAGAAAAAGCAGAACAATCCTATACCCATATTGCAAATAATATAGAACAAATAATAATCAAAACTGGCGATGATAGCGATAGTGATACTGATATATTATGTGAATAATTTTAACTAATTTAAGTAGGTAATAAAAATAATTTGTAATTTTATTTTAGATTTAAACATAAATACATACATAAATAAATAAATATTAGTATCTTTCCTGACAAAACCCCAAATAATTAAATTCCTTGCAAAGTACGAACCTCTTCGACCATATTTCATTCTTGCAGCTTGCCCAGGTCTTTCCTTAATTCGTATCAGTTAGTCAGTTTCTTCTATCTATGAACAGACTTTACCGGTTATAGTAACTGATTAGAATTTTGGTCACAAATAACTGGAAAGGTATAAAAGACCTTGAACATAAAAAAATTACAAAAAAATTGTGACTAATTTTTAATATAATTATATTAATTGTATTAAAAATATATTTAACGTGCCCTTGACTATTTTGGGAATTACATAATTTGCAGTCTACAAGTTTGTAAAAAATGTTGATTTTAACATTTTGCCGAATTCTATAATATTCAGAGGAAGCTGATACGTCAGCGAAGAAAACCTAAAAAAATGTCAGACAATAAATTAAAAATAAAACAAAAAAAGATAAAATAAATATAAAACAAATTTACAATTTGTGTAGGAATTTGTCACAAAAAGTTATAAAATACTTAAAGCTATAACTTCTAACAACGTTATTACAAAAATTCTTGTAAACTTTCTAAAAACATTTTCTAACTTCAAATTTCTTTCCAATTCACAATTTTTTATTTCTGCAGGTAGCTTGTTAAAAATTGCTGGTCCTATATTTTTTGGCGATTTATATGAAATGTTCAAGCTACTGATTTTTACACAACAGTTATTAAAGCGGGACTTTTTATCTTTGAACACATTCATCTGAGATACAATTTACAAATCTACGTCGGTTGTTGATGAATCTTGCTGACGTTTCGCCAGTCATCCTGTTTGACTTCTTCAGAGCTTACCTAAAACTGGCTCGCATTCTATGCTGTACCTGCGCTTATATATCGTTTGAGGGGGGCGGAGCTAAACGAAGGGCATGACATATTGGTGGATTTAACTGTTTTTGCTTAAAGATGTTTTAATTTTTCCAAGAGGAATAGTTTTGAATGTAGTTTTAAGACTAGATGATGAAATTGATATTTGAAGTCTAGGTTATGTTCAAAGATAAGGCGTAGAAATTTCGTCCACTTCATCCAGTCTATTTATATACAAAATAAATAGAACCTTGGGCAACGCTTTCCGAACTTTTTTTACATTTACATATTCTGTGGTTTCTTAATATGATTTAATTCATTCTAAAGGCCGTTCAACCATTCCATACGATCTACCCACTAACCTGCATTTAGGATATTTTCTTTCTAAACAACGATATCCACACACTTAACTCATTTTCCCAGAACTTTTAATGAAATCTGGACAAATCTCTGTGTGTGTTGAGACGATGATTTAAATTTTGACTTCATAGTCATTGGCTTTATAACTTGTTGATAGAAGTCGTTAAGTTTTTGTCTTATTTGTATATGATTTTTTTTTGGGTTTTTTATTATTTCTTGTAACATTCAATTTCAGCAATTTGGGATATAATTGGTATCAAATTCGGAATTTTTATCTCACTGAAATTTGGTCTTGGTGCGTAAGTTGTACTCAGAATTTTCTTTTTTTTTCCAGAAAATCGACAAAATGGACGAGTAAAACATATTCCTATCTCGTCTGCATCAACATCAAGTTCTTCCACCTCCACTCCGTCTACTTTAGTTGGTGAAGGTAAAACGGAACCTTTCTTTATGGATAAATTAATGATTGCCTAATTAGATTTGGTGTAACGCTGACATTTTCTTTTTCAGGAAAAACCGTATCGTCCGATAACGCCGTCGCATCGAGACAATCGTCCTACTCCAACTGCAGCTCTTTCTTCGACGAAGGTAATTTATAACCTGATCCTGTTCTTCTTGATGTTGTCTTTGTCGCGAATGCCTTGCAACGTGGCCAAATTATATGGACAAATTAATTTTCTGATACAAGCCCAAACACAAGATCCAAAAATAACCAAACAACCAAATTCAGTTAAAGTCCGTTACAATAGGGAAGATACTAGTGACGTCAGCTGTCGTTCGAAAATGCGGCCGCCATTGGCGTGGATCAGATCGTTCCGGTTATTTACTTCACGTGACTGTGTTCTGCGACCGGCTTAAATTTCGTTCATTTTTGCAGACTATTGTTTTCGTTTTGGTTGCAATATCTTTGTAAATCTTTGCAATTTAATAATATTATTTTCGCCAAACCCGTACAGCTTTAATTACATACGCTTTAATCACATACGACTTTTGTCAAGTTTGGGAGATATTGACGATTTGTTTAATTTTTCAGAGAGTAGATATGTTTACAGAAAAATGGGTGATCATTAAAATGGGATATTTACCTTTGTATTGTGTTCATTTAATAATTTAATTAATTTAATTTCCAGTAATCCTCGCATCAACATCAAGAAATTGAAAAGAATAATATGTAAATTACTAGCTGTACACCTTTTCCGAAAATTTTCAGTTATCGCGAACTAAAATGGAACACAAGAATAATATACATTATTGGTATTTCAAAAATCTGGTGAAAGCGCCAGGTATTGGACCATAAAATGCACGTAATTGAAATAAGTGCCGCCACTGTTTCACCTACACGATAAAGAACGCAATAACGCGAGAAGAGGATAGGACGCTAATTTCGCGCATTGAACAATGATGTCACTGGGCTCTTCTCCATTGAGACAGACTCTAGTGCGGCCTTGAAGCTAGACACAAGTGCGATAATAAAATGTAACATTTTTACTACTGATTTTGCCACTGTTCTCCGTGTAATTCTATCGAAGAATATGTTAAATCCTTTGCCTTTGTTCAGATGACTATTCAAATAATACAACAATGTATTGGATCAAATTACACAATGTTCATTGGTGGAAATGATATTGAGAAATTTGGCAACCTAGAGTCCTATTTCTCCGCTCATTTATATTCTTCTGTTTCAAGAATACGGGTTTTTGGTTTCCATAGCTCCACATAAATCAAGTTTGGCTCTGTTTTATAGAACTCAGTTTTTTACGGGTTCGCCAGTATATTATTGGTCCAAACTAAACGCTGATGCGTTTTGCCGTGTTTTACAGTATAACAATTTTATTGTACCTGATCTGTACATTTTGCCAAACTTCACTGAAATAAAATTTGTATCTCAAAATATTAAGAAAACGCCCATTTTTTAAAGATATACAATAAATTTTATTGCATATGTGTTGAACATTTTGTTATTTTTACAATGTAAAGCCAGATGGAGCTATAAGGAGCTGAAGGTTAGGGATGGGAGTTGTTGACGTGATTTTCTAAGGAGATGATGAAACTCGGACAAGAAAACAACAATACAGTGGGCTCAGTTTTTAATTTTAAAGGAAGCGGAATCGGCCATGTAACAGACTATTCTTCGATGATCAAACGAACTTACCTGGTAAGTGAAGTTCGATCGTAATTATATGTTACACCTCTTCGTAGAAATCAATATACGTAGTCCCCCTTCTAGTCGCTAGGTGGCACCACAGCTTTAAAGCAGAGCCAAAAAACTGTGGAATAACTTACCATGGACGGTATATTCGCCATCTATGGTCTTAACCTCATTCTATTTTAAAGCCCGTTTATAATAAATTTGCCAAAGGGCATTTTAGTACTGTTCAGAACAGTAAATTGGGCGGGAATGGGTGATTTCTACGAAGAGGTGTAACATATAATTACGATCGAACTTCACTTACCAGGTAAGTTCGTTTGATCATCGAATTATATGTTACACCTCTTCTATGAAATCAATATACGTAGACTTTCAAAGGCAACTCAGCAAATTTGTTATAAAACGATTTTATTCGGCTATATAAGGAACTCCAAACCTTATGAAGTTTATGAAAGCCTTGAGTACAAATACAAAATAAATGGTTGTCCGAGAAAACAAACCTTCTGAAAAATTCTATGTCCCAAATGTGGCATTAACAAAAAAGCCTGCACCTGCTGTACAAATAGGTCTATTATAAAAAAAAGGGCAAAACATTTAGAGCATTCTCACCAATCTGCCGTTTTTCCAATCATATCAATTGACACATTTACAAAACGCAGACGATGTCGAGGCATGTCGAGTTCTGTGAGCAGTAAAAATAGAAGTGTAGACACCACTATCTTCTAAAGTTATCTTTATTCATCTGCTTTTGTTGGGTATAGTTGCTGCCCTACAAGGCTTTTTAAATGTAATGAGTAAACGAGATTCACTGCCTCTTAAAGCACTGGTCCTCTCAATAATATATTTGAAACCACACAAAGATTTACATCTTCATATTTATGCAAAATTAAAAAACAGGTCGAGTCTTATTTATAGCTGAAATCATAATTTGATTCGTTATTCTAATTTCTAATCCATCTGGAAATGATTTTATGTTGACCAATTCTATAAGAGAGAGCGTTACATCAAAAAAAGGAGGTGGATCCGGTCTTGGTTGGAAGATAAATTAATTAAACAAGAGTTTAAAAAAGACCCTGAACAGTTTAAATGGCTTTTGAAGATGTCAAATGAAAGCTTTGATGAATAAATAGACTAACTCTATTGATATATAGAAGTTCTTATTATTTAAAAGAGCCCCAAAATTAACAGTTTTTAATTCTTTACAAAACAAAAAACTGCATTTTTTTTGAGTAAGTTTTATTTCAATATCAAAAGGTGGTGTTTCTTTTGTATAAAATTAAAAAGATATAGATGGCCCAACTTTCCAGTTCTTTTTTATTTACACCACACACATACACCATTACATTTGCATAGGTCAACTCCTCTTCCCGGGCTTGGTAAATAATATCCAAGATTAGTCTTCTAAGTGTCGGCACCCACAGTTTTACAAATTACAAACTGTTATATAACCTATTTTTTTTGCTAACTTACATCAAAAAAAGGAGGTGGGTCCGGTCTTGGTTGGAAGATAAATTGATGAAACAAGAGTTTAAAAAGGACCCTGAACAGTTTAAATAGTTATTGAGGATGTCAAATGAAAGCTTTGATAAATAAATGGACTAACACTATTGATATATAGAAGTTCTTATTATTTAAAAGAACCCCAGAATTAACAGTTTTTAATTCTTTACAAAACAAAAAAACTGTATTTTTTTTTGAGTAGGTTTTATTTCAATATCAAAAGGTGGTGTTTCTTTTGTATAAAATTAAAAAGATATAAATGGCCCAACTTTCCAGTTCTTTTTTATTTACAACACACACACACACACATCATTATATTTGCATAGATCGGTATCCATCTTCAATTCCTCTTCCCGGGCTTGGTAAATAATATCCAAGATTCGTCTTCTAAGTATCGGCACCCACAGTTCTTCAAATTACAAATGATTATATTGTTTAACTTTAAAATTGCAAAAAAGCATCCATGAAGTTTGTATTTTATTCTGCTTTTTTCATTTGCGTGCTTGGAATTTAGCGCAGATGCGTGAAACCTAGAAGAACTTATTTTAGAAACGGTCGACTTATATTGAAGTCAGATTCTCTAAACTAGATAGGCATTAATGCTTTGGGGCAGACTCCCATTAGCTATCAGTAGATTACACTCACTTGCTCTCACTGGATTTCGTCTGTCCAGAAGCATTATATAAAGAAGGTTTAGTTCAACTGCACCAGCCCCACTTACTAAGCAAAGTTACGTAAAGTCTTTGATACAATTCAGAGGTACTCGTTTATTAATTTACAGTAACATAACCTTTCTTTTTGACGAATTGACGCAAAAATTGACGAAGAACTTCGCGAATTTGTTAGACGAGAATTCGATATCAAAGTGGGGTATTACACTCGTCAAATATGTTCGTTAACCAACTTCAGCAATTAATCCATGAAGAAATTGTCGGTGTAAAACTAGCACCAGAAAACATAACAAAACGTACTACGTTTTAGTGACGTTTGGCAAAATGCACCAGCGTTTAGTTTCGACCAATGAGAGTGCGTGTCAAATAAAATGACCCACTATACGATCTGGAAACCCATAGGAGATGCGAAAAAAAGTTTCTTGGATTCTCCAGAAGATTTAATATATTATAGTTTTATTGACACAGGGTGTTCCAAAAGTGTCCCCTCCGACATCAAATTTGTTATTTTAAATGGAACACCGTGTATATATCGACATTTTTGGAATCCTTGGTTAAAATAAAGGTCACTTTCTTAAGAAATTCCTATTGGAATTTTGCATACTTTAGGTAGAAATTGAGGTGATGTGTTTTTTTTATATGAAATTGTGTTGTGACGGTACTAATTCAGGTAATGCAACGAAAATTTATCCACAGACTTAGTAGATGATCCACCACTCAATCAGTTTGACAGATGCGCCTCATCATATACAGGGTGTCCCAAATTGGTGGTGGCGTTTTTGCGCATTTAGTTGACAAATTAAATTGACAAAACTCAATATTTGCAAATTTTATTCAGATATCAATTCTAGGACAAAAAAACAAGGTAAGTTTGTAATTAATTTTATATTTAAATTTTACTTACTTTTTGAGATATTCGAGGTTTAAAATAACACCCGCATAAATTCATGTTGAATTTAAAGCTGCCCACGTTAGGTCACTTTTTAGCAATATTAGGTATTGTTTAAATAGCAAAGACACGATACTATTTCTTTTAAAGTTAGACCAGTAAAACCTATTACTAACAATACAGGTTGTCCATTAATACGTGCATATTTTGAGAAAAATCGACTCTATACTACACACTTTAACACATTTAATAAAACTTCGGAATTCATATTTAAAGAAACATTTAATAGTTCATTATCTAGCTTGATTAATCAATAATCAAAGTTTATAGGTTAACCAAAAAACTATAACTTATTTAAAATAGAAATAACATATATACTAACAAAAAACTTGACAACTGTGAACTTTTCAAATAGAAAAATAAAAAACAAGAAAAACAAACATAAACGTGCAAGTTTGTTTATACCTTAATCTGTCAAAAAAAAAAGATTGTGATGTCATACAATACATTTTTAAATATTTTGATATTTCTTTATTGTTTTGATGCCAGATTAAACGAACATTTTAAGAGGAACATTTTTAACTAAATTTTATGGACCGAATTAACGAAGACTTTTTAGTAAACTTTTTTTATAGATTTACTTATTCAAATTTGTTACCTTGGTTAGTTAGCCTATAAACTTTAATGACTTATTTTTGTTATTTGTAATTTTCAATCAAGCTAGATAATGAACCATTAAATGTTTCTTTAAACATGAATTCTGAAGTTTTATTAAATCTGCATTGTTAGCAATAGGTTTTAATCGTATATCTGGAGTAACTTACCTTTTTTTTTCCTAGAATTGATATCTGAATAAAAATATAGGGTGTTCCATTTGAAAATCTTGAGATTTTGTTAATTGAATTCGCTAAAACATCACCACCTATTTGGGACACCCCGAATAAGCTGAGGCGCATCTGTCAAACGCATTGAGTAGTGCATCATTTCCTTAGTCTGTGGTTAAATGTTCATTGCAATACCTGGATCGGCTGCGTCACAACACAATTTTATATGGGGCAGTCAAAATATGAAAAAAGAATACATTTCTGCATAAACTATGCAAAATTCGAATATTCGACCTTTATTTTAACCAAGAATTCCAAAAATGTCCATTTGAAATAACAAAGTTTATATCGCAGGGGACACATTTTGAGACACCCTGTATCAACAAACTTATAATATTTTCAGGAGAGTACAAGAAAATTTTTTTTGTATCTCCTATGGGTCTTCAGATCGTATGGATCCATTTATTTGGAATACGATGTACATTTTACTTAAATGCCTTCCAATTTGTCCATATAACTTGTGTCACCGTGTACAACTCCACATGACGAATCTAAACTAGACCTTCGTCGACAACTCAAAGATATCGGCCGTGACGATAGGCGCACGCCAAACTACGTTAAACAAAGCCCGCGATAAACAAAAGCGGATTTTTTCCGAAAATCGACGATAACTTTTTAGTCGCGCTGCTTCTACGCTACTGATTACAATACGACCGCGTCGTAACGCATGTACTTAATGGCACCGAATTATCTCTAAAAATATACCTACGTCTCGAAACAAATAAACACTCGCTCCCGCGAACGCTTTTTTTTAACATGATTGCAAATTAATCCGCCATGGTTCGCGTTCTGTGTGGTGTCTGTGCTAAAATTTTAACGGCCATCTTTCCCGTGCCTCACGAAAAAGTGTTGTGACGCGTCGCGAAGATCAAGGTCAAGCGGACGATTATGCGGCCGAGTTAAGTAATTCTACACGCAAAGAATAATATCGCGACACTTTTTTTTATCGTTATCGCGTCAGGTGTCTCGACTATTTTCATTTCTTGGTGTTCTTCCCATCCTAATTACACGTTATAGCGACCGCCGTTGTGTGATACAGGCTCGAACACGTTCGAATCGGACGTAGAAGACATGAACGATGGTGCGGCGCGCGTGTCCAAATCGAAAAGGCGAAGACAACGACGCAGATTGCTCAGGGACGTCGTGGAAATTAAAGAAATAGTCCCCGAGAAAGTCGAGCAACTGACCAAAGAGGAATACAAAGTGGAATCTCCAAAAGAGTTGAAATTGGATAAGCGACTGAAAGCGAAAAGCAAAAGTTTGGAAGATGACGACGTGCCCAAAATACAAGAGCTGTCGGAAGTAGGCGAGTCCGAGGACAAAGGGGGCTACGACGAGGCCGTCATACGGGAGGCCTCCTCGGAAGAGAATCTAGACCCGGAAAAACCCGGTATAGTATTAAATTTAAGGAGCGAAGATTGTGTAGAGTCGCGGTCGCTGATATCGCCCGAAGAAGAAAAAGAATTGCGAACGTTCCTGAACGGGTTGAACCTGATCAACTCGCCGGAGGAGTCGGCGCAAGAGCTGACCCAAAAATCGGACCCCAAGACGCGAAAACACCAAAACAGGAAGGAGCTGGAACAGTACTTCTTGCCTATATGCCAGAACCCGCGTTACCTCGATGCGATCTCCGAAGAAACGAGTGACGTCAGCGATAAGGAACCGTCCGGCGCCTCCCAGCACCTCAAACAAGGAACCCCGGAGCTCGATCTGCCTCCGGTTCCGCCCCGGAGGAATAAAAACAAAACGTTCCGCCAGCTAGAGCAGCCTGACGCGGTTCTGGTGGAGACCAAGTTGGTGGACCGAGACGGCTTCCAGGAAAGTATTTGCAACACGAAGGTGGTGCCTCAGAGCGATAACGAAGTCGAAGTTGTTTATATCAACGATTCTGGAGAATCTTCCACGTCGTCAGGTGATTTTACCGACGTTTATAACGACTGCCAACCGCCTCCACGACCGGAACTGCCGTTGGAGGTATGCATTGATGCGAATAATGAATCTCTGACCAATCGTCTGTCTACGATAGAGCCACGGGAGGAGGATGTTTGCAAAACGTTTTACGAAAACTCGATGTTCTCTCAATTAACGCCGCCTCCGACGCCGGACAATGTTACCCCGAAGAATGAGAAGGTGTGCGAGGCGAAGTCGATCTTTTTTGATTATACGAAAATACCGAACGTGCTAAGCGAGAAGGAACCACCTCATGCAACTCATTTGAAAAATATCTTGACAGGCAGGGCGAATGTTGATACGATAAAATGTGAAAAATATAAAAAGAAAATAACAGAAGAAATAACAAAAAGTAATAACGAAACAACGGAAAAAAAATTGGTTAAGGAAAAAGAGGTCACTTCAAACATACAAAATAAAAGCGAAAAGATTACAGAATTAAATAAATCAAATTCAACACAACAAGAGTTGATCGAAAAAAACACAAAAACAGATATTATAGAAAATGGTGTAAGTGATGATTACTTGAAAGACAGTGTCGATAAAAGAAAGGAAACAGAACAACACAGGACGCAAACAATACAGTCAGTTACTAATGTCGCAATTGAGGTGGATGTTGAGACAAAAGGAAGCGAACGAAATAAAAGGAGTTTAACAGAAGGACAGGCAAAAAATAATATCGAAACAACCACGGAAAAAATATTGGTTAAGGAAGAAACTTCCATCAAAAGTAACAAAAACGTTAATTGCTTTAGCAAAAATACGGAAAAATTAATTGTAGATAAAGAGTCGAAAATTATACAACATGAAGGCGATTCTAGAGAAAGAATTACAGAAAATTACTCGTGCAATACCAAAATAGAATTTAAAAAATCAAATTTAACACCAGAAAGGAAAACAGATGATTACTTGAACGGCAGTGTTGATAAAAGAAAAGAAACAAGAGAAGGCACGACTCAAACAAAACAACCAGGCACTAATATTAACTTCTCAGATAATGTGAATGTTAAGACAAAAGAAGGCGAACAAAATAAAATTAATTTAATAGAAGAGAAAGCAAAAAATAATATCGAGACAAATTTGGTTAAGGAGGAAGCAGCCCAAGCCGGCGAAAGCGATAATTACTTTACTAAAAATACAACAAAATTAATTGTAGAGAAAGGGTCGAAAACGATACAACACGAAGGCGATTCTAGTGATAGAATTATAGAAAATTACTTATGCAATAGCAAAATAGAATTTAAAAAATCAAATTTAACACAAGAAGATATTTCAACTAAAAGGAAAAACCGAAAAAGTGATATTGTAGAAAGTGTTGATAAAAGAGGAGAAAACACGACGCAAGCAAAACAGCCAGTCGCTAATATAAATGTGTTTATGGGATTAGAAGCGGTAACAAAAGACTCGACGGATAGTGTGGAGTCATATTTGACTTCAAAATCTCAATTTTTTTCTAAGACAATCGAAAATCACTCTATCAATTGTAATAATGTCGACGGACATCAAATAGACAAACTGGAATTTGAGGGACAAACTACGAACGAAGCCACAAAAAAAACAACTCAATTCGGCAAAGAAGAGAAAATAGAGAATAAAAAACAAAATGTTTTATTTAATCACCTCAAAGAAGCCGACAATATTCCAACTTCAAGCGAAAAGTTGACCCGGAAGATAGAGAAATTGGAAGATATTAAAATCGTTGAACATCGGTATGAATATAAACGGGAAAATTTTGAAAAAAATGAGGCATCTACTAAAGTAAAGGAACGGTCGGAGCACAAACTGAATGATGAAAAACTGCTTGGCTGCAAAAATAATCAATTAAATACGACTGCGATTGGAACGGCAAGTTCTGATCTAAATCGAAGTGAATGTAAACAGGCAGTTAAAAACACAGCCACCCTGACAGATGAAAATATAACTACCAGTAGAACACAAAGTGCTAGACCAGACCTGATAATCAATACAATCAAATCAGCAGAGTGTGAAGAAAGGCAGAAGAGTGGTCCACCATCAACCATAGCAAGTGAGAATAAGAGTGATGAACAATTTCAAAACCGTAAATCAGATGGAACGATGGTTCACAGCTCCATTTTAAGCCCCACCCTATCGGACAGCGCGGACAGTACCGACAGCAAAGAAAGTTCGTTATGTACGGCAAAATACAATCCAAACTCTTCCATAGCTGACGTAACCTCCATCACCAAAGAGGAGGAGGACATTAACAGCAAGGACCTGTACCAACCTGCTTCGCTAAGGTGTTTGGTTTTGGACGCGCTGATAGCGCTCCCTTTCGGCACGGACATGCTGGAGGAGTTGGCGGAGGTTTCTAAAAGTATAGATAATCTTACGTGCGACATTCCTTTTCGGGGATTAACCAGGCCGATCCCTGCGTTTATTGATAGGAACCCTGTTTCAGTTTCGATGAACCAGACCACGAAATTCCACAACTCAGTGCGGGAGACGAGAAATAAATTATCCGACTTGACCAAGAGGAGTACCGACGAGGACGTTTCACCTGCCAATCGGCTGTTGTCTATAATTCGAGAAGATGAAGACGCGGACAATTACCTGTACTTCGAGCATAACGAGGAGTGTGAGCGATTGAAAGCGAAAAACTTAACCGAGTGGCTGGCGATCGCCAGAAATAAAAGCAAAAGCATGTCGAATCTCGACTCGACGAGTATTCCTATTAATAACTTGCGAAGTGAAAATTCGGTTTCGCACAAAAGTGCTCCGCGACGATGCTCTTTGCCGCAGGAAATTTACGTGAGACAGTTACAAGACATAATGGAAAAGGAAAGACAGATACAACGCGAACTGGAGCAGCTGGAGGAGGAGAAGAGGAAAATCCAAGCTGAGCTGGCGCCGAGCAGAAACAAGTTTGAGGTGGACGATTTCTACGTGTCCAAAAAGGGGGACTTTGCTGAGAGGCGAGAAAAGTTACGACCTACGTCGATGCCAGTATTTCCCACCGAATTCTTCCGGCAGCAGATGTACGAGGAGTACATGGACAAGTTTTCGGAACGGGAGGAAAGGAAACAACAAAAAGTTATCAAAATATCATCCAGCCACGATTTGAGCAACGACAAGGACAAAGGGAGGAGTAAGGAGATTATTCATCCCATTGAGATCGAGAAGGAGTTTATGGATAAAGTGAAGCAGAAGCTCGGAAAGCCGGACACCAGCGACGGCAACGATGCAGCTCCAGGGTGCAAGGTTCAAGTAGACGAAGTACCACCCGTGCTGGTACTGGATGGGGACAAGGTGAAAGGTGTGGAGGTGCTGCCGAAACATCTGCAGCAGTTTGTTGACGATATGACTGCCCAGGGTGAAAGTAAGTCGTGCGATGGAATGCTGACGATCTCTTTGTCGATATTAATGCTTTGTGTGGTTTTTGAACTAATATGTTTGTTGGTTTTTTAAATAAATTATTTTTCGTAAATCACGTTGATGTCGTTATTTGCTGTGGTACTAACAATGCGTGCGCATTCTCATTGTCCTCTTACTTCGTTGACAAGTAAATATCGCTTCAAATGGGCGCTGTTGATCATTAATTTTTTTAGGATGAATTTATCAGGAAGCGCCCCGTTTTGGAGCCAATTTTTGGGTTATGGATGAGACAACTCTTATGTTAATCATTCTGCCATATTTTATAAAATGTGATTATATTTAGGAAAAAATGCTTGCAAGACTAAAGACGTTAACTTCGTATGCCATTTGACTATTTCTGGTCAGGACAATGCAATGTTATTCGGTTAGCTTATAAACTATCAAGTAAAAAAATGAACCTTGACTATTTCCAAAGATATATACAGGGTGGTTTACGGAAAACAAAGCATAGGGTCATTTTCATAATTTGGCGGTCTGCATAGCGATCTAAAATACTTTTCGGGCTACGACGTTGCCGCTTATTTGGAAAAGTAGCATCGTAGCAATCAACATAGTTGCTATTATACAGGGTATATCTCAATTTGAACCCTCTGTGTGTTATTCATTTTTAAATTTATGAGCAAATTAAATGGCAGGTTCCTTTTGGTTTTCCTATATATAATCTCAAATGTTTCTTAAATATTTTGAAAAAAAAATTGGGTGTCAATAATTTACGTATTTTCAAAGGTACAAAATCCTGTTTTTCCAAATGCAAAAATAAGTCTTTCATTGGTGATTACTTGCTAAATTCTAAATTCTGGGCACACTTTTTAGATAAATAAATTTCCGACTTCCTAAGTGCCATTATTGTGCTTCTGTGCATGGCATAAGCGTTAAAAATCATGAAATGGCTGTATTTAAAACAATCTATATCATTGAAAATTTAGGCTCCAGAGGTGAAAAGCTTCAATTTCAAATCCGTTGATCTAAGTGATAAGCTCTAGAACCTCCTAACTTATTTAATGTAAATTAAACGAGAAATTTAACTTAACTAGAAATAACCTTGGAGTTTGATTAACTTCTGATAGAAAACATAAAATAACCAAATTGAAAGGCATGGTCACAGAAACTATATCCAAATTTTGCATCTCACCATGCAATAGTATTACAGGGCGTCGTATTTGAGAAATCACCCTGTAAGCTATAAATTATGTCTTAATAATACAGAAATGTGATAATATACCGAGTATCTCATTTAAAATTATAAAGTTAGACGCTATGAGATACTTATGAGATATTCTGTATAATTGCAATTATTTTCGTAGGATGTGCACTTTTAAGCAGACGTTTCTACTCAAAAATTTGTTGATAAACTGAAGTATTATATAGGTATAGGAGAAACGCGTAACACTTATCTACCCTGTATTATTTCTCAAGTGTTTTTTTGTTTAAAACATAAGTTTGAATAAACTGTTTATTACGATGTTTGAATTAGTAGAAAGCTATAAAATTTGGTTGTAGTTTTTCAAGGATAGATGTAGTTTTTTGCTTATAGAGAGGTTTGTTCTGTATTATACAGGGGCATTGATAACTCACAATTTAGCTAACCCAAAAATACAAATAATTTTTGATTCACCCTGAACGGAGGTTGTTGAAAAATGAAAAAGTCATTAACTAACTTTATATTGAATGGAAGTGAAAAACAAATTTACATTCTAAACGCACATAAAGTATTATTTTATATATTCTTATTAAAGTATCGAAGTTATTTATTTAAATTATTTTTAATTAAAATTCCAATTTTGATATGCTTTTTTTTTTTAATTTTGACTGTACAAATAATTATGGAATAGCGTAATAAGCAGGGCGCACTTAAAAAATGTAGCAAAACTATTTGACACATCAGAACATGAAACCTAAACTCAATCAGGAGTGGAGAAAAAGGCAAAAGAAAATTTTTTATGAAAATAAGATATTCGGCAAAAAATTCGTTTACAACAAAAATATGGTTTTATTTTCTGTTGCTAAACAGCAAAATGTTAAGGTCAGGCGCTCTTGTGGTAGAGTCATTCTATCACAAAAGCATTTTGCAATCTTTTTCACATATTTTAGCTTTCATTAAATCAAGCAAAAATTCAAACTCTTCCGCAGACATTTGCAAATTTTTTTTTAACTGCTGTTAATTCATTCTTAATTAAACAAGCAGTTTTTCATGTATACCTAAAGATCTCGACTGAATCCATTTTCTTATTCCAATTTTTGTACGCTTTATGTCAGTTTCTTTTTTTTTGCACTAGCTGCAACATTTTTTTAAAGTGTGTCTACACGTTTCTGAGCCAACAAACTTTCTGTAATAATTTGCCCCAAATAATTAGTGCGTTATTTGTATATCTATATACTTTTGTAATGTATTCGCTTGCATTTTTGTCATTTTTTTTATATACAATGACAATTTCTTTTTTTTTTTTGTCAATTCAAAACACTATTATTTTACCCATTTTTGAACAATTATTTCATTATTCAAGATATGCTATAACTCATAGTTAAACGTGACTAAGTTGATGATTTTCTTCTTCTTCTGGTGCCACTCCTGGAGGAGAAGTTATATCATCATTGCTAATCTCACTATGTTGGCTACTATTCTAAATAGTTCACTAAAACTGCAGTCACGCAACTACCTTAAATTCCGCAGTCATCTTCCGTTCGTCCTCCACTTCTTCTACCCCTTATCTTGCCCTGCATGATATTTCTCACTAGTACATACTTCTATAATCCTCATCCAAATACTGACGTTTTTGTCTTTTGATTGTCAGCGTTTGTTACCTTCACCATCCATGATATTCTCAGAATCCATCGGTAGCACCCCATATCCGAAGACTTCCATATACTTTGTTATTTTGTTTAAGCCTCTGCACCATATAAAAGGATATATACTCTGTGTTGATCTCAGGACCTCGTCCAAATTGACAAAAAATTCTTAAAATGTTGTAGGTGCATGCACTTGAATTACATTATTTGATTATAATTGGAGCATGATTATTCTGTCTGTGTAGGGGACAAAATTCACCACTGATTTACAAATTTTCTCATTGACTACTATGGCAACATGAAATCTGTGTTAGTGTCAATCTTCAATCTCTGCTACCCAGAGTTTAAGTTGTTAAGTTTTCCTGGTATATAAAGACTTCTCACTAGTTGTGCCATTCAAGGCTTACGTTTCTGAATAAACCAATTCATGGACCGGAACCACTTTCGACCCCTCCACATCGTAGAAACAAGCCTGTCAGTGAGTCGGCAAATGCACCAAATGAAGGGATACCATTATTGGCGCACCGTGTAACCTGTAAACGATTATCGCGAGGGTGTAATGTTTTCGCTCTATCTCGCTCGCCCGTGGTTTTCGCCATATTAATCTCGTGATGCAATCCGATTTGATTTTCGTTTCGATGAAACCCGCCCACCGCGCTGTTCTATATTTAAAGCGTTTTATATTTGGGTCAGGAGGCACAGGCCATTTGCTCGCGTTCCGTTATTATATTTTCCATGAGCGATTTGAAACGGGCCGTACGGAAAATAAAGATTCCGCGATAACTGTGGTTTTCGCGGGTAATTTATTTGTAAATTCACGAGACCCGATTTGAAGGCACCCGTATTAGTCGAATCAATATTAAAATCAGGTCAACTTGATGGCTAACTTCTAACTTTGAAGCCACTATGTTATGCAATATTTACGTCAAGGGATTACACTAAATTCTGTTTCTTAGTGCGAGGGAGAGTTATAAATAGAGTAATAGCATTTAATTCTTTAAGACTTGCACACTCTGAATCATTTTTGGTAAATGAAAGTGCTGTGGCAACAGCGTTACTACTGCTGGTTTAATAGAATAATAAATATAATAATATAAATATATGAGAATAGATAAATTGTAATAAATGTTATTATTCAAAAATATCTACTAGCTACAATACAGCTTCATTTCTAAATTTTCTTCATCATGTTCCGCCTATTCAGATGAACTATAGTCGTCGGAGTCTAGAAAAATAATTACTCGCTCTACTGGGATTTTTAACGTGTTATCAGCTTCATTCTTTCTTCTATTTCAGTTTTACTGAATTTATTCCCTCTCGCAAGTGGGGTTTCAACGTCATTCTTTTTAAAAATGGTGTTATGCCTTTCTACTTCCGCCCGTACATTTTATGAGGTTTAATTCACTTTGATATGACTGAAGGCGAAGTAGCGCTATTTTTATTCGTCGACGGCAACTCCTTTTTAGCAAATCTTTCTGCTTCTTATTTAAAGTAAACTAATAAATGATGTCAGTTTTTTGCTTTGCCTTCGGATTTTCTCGGCTTTATCCATGATTATAATAGATCGAGGACTAATGAAATCATTTGCTGAAAACAGTCTTCAGAAACATCAGCATTCATGTCTTCATAATAGTCTCTAGTCCATGACAAATCCATTTTTGCTACGAAAGATATTTTCAGTTTTAAGAATTTTGGTAATGAGAATTCCTTTTCTTCAAAGTTTTCCAAAATTTCTTCTTCTTCTCCTTTGAAACCATCCTTGTTCATTTCAGAAATTTTTTTCGAGGTAGGTACTTCTTATTTTTAAGTAAAACGAGTGTTCTTGTAATGGCAGTCTTTTCATCCTCATTTCAATTCCGAATGTTGTTTTGATATCGAAGTGCTTTGAATACGTTGAAAATAATCATTTTCTCAACACCTGCCGGAAAGTAACTATAATTCCAATTTTGAACAATAAGGCACAGGTAGGTCAACTACCAGTCTGTCTACCTGCCATTGTTCAGGCAATCGTAGATACAATGCTAAGATTTAAAACTCTCTGACATTAAGAAACAGAGCATCCTCCCCAGAAGTTCCACAGGAAAAAATGAGAAAGTAATTGACTAAATTCTACCTGGATGATTTATTTAGGACTAAAATGATTTCTAAATTTTATCA